CCCCCCCCCCCCCCCCCCCCCCACCCCCCCCCCCCCCCCCCTCTCTCTCTCTCTCTCTCTCTCTGCTAGCTCCATTCCCTGTTCCCCCTCGAAGCTCTCAAGTTGCCTTGATGCTGACCTTGATGCTCACAACTCCTCTTCCTCTGCTTCGGCTGTTGGATGGGCTGGCGGCCAAGAGGCCACAACAATGACTTTGTATTTAGGGCAAATATTTAATCACACAATGGAGCAGCACGGTGGCCTAGAGATGGAGATCTCGCCTCGCAATCAGGAGGCTGTAAGTTCGATCCTAGGTAGTGACAGATACTTTTCTTTCTGGGGGCAATAAATTATTGTCTGCTCTGAGCTCCACGAAGGCATCAGGAAGGGCATCCGTTCAGTCGGCCTGATTCTACCCCGATGCAAGATGTTACAGGGTTGTTAAAAGAATAATAATAATTGCACAACAAAAACCATTTGCAATCCATGGGAAGGAGAAGAAGGAACAAACAAATGCAGAGATTTGACTTCCTTTGTTGCTGTAGAAAATGTTTACGTGTTTTTCCAAGCTTCTGCCTTGACCATTGAATTGTTCCCTATAAACCAAATGGAGAGAATACTGAAAAGTAATTATTTCAAGTATCCTTGATATGCCAAACCAGTTAGCACTGGATAAATATCAGGAAAGGGGAACTCCCAAGTCATTATTAACGAGGGCAAAATGACCTTTATACAGTTGTATAAACTGTTGTGTTTTTTCTGCACAAAAGAGAGTTAAAAAGAACAATGCTAAAAAGCACTCAAGTGTGTTATCAAAGAACAAACAATAGATTAGCAGCTGGTGAAATCAACACTGCTCAAAGCTGTGAATTCCATTCCACCTATTAATAGCCACTTAAACTGTCTCAGAAATTTTTAAAGCATTTGAAAATGTAAGTAGCCCCTAGAGGAGGTTGTCACAAAATGGCTCATAAATGGGCATTGCATTATGGGTTAATTCTTCTGGAAGGTAATAAATAGTTTATTTTTAGAACAAGATCAGATGTTTATTTTATTTTTTTCCCTTTATATTGTTCCTTTCCCAATGATCCATTAGCCGGAAATTCTCAGAAGGCCAAATTTTTGCCGGACAGTTTTAACAAAACGAAACCTGCCATTTTAAAGCAAGGCATCTTATTAGTTTTTTTATATAGCCCAGACAGTCCATTGGCCATTATGGTAAAAAGTGGAAGAAAATGACCTGGAAAATGCTTTCGCATTTGCCTTAATTGCAGGACTGGAAAGCTTTTGTCTTCAGTTGGGTGGTTTGAAGTTGACAAGCCTTTTCCTTTTAAACTGTCATTCAATCATTTTATTCATTTTATTCATTTCATCGCCTGTGAATTTGTGACCTTGAAATAATCACGCCAAACCACTTTTTTACCCTTTAAAGGAAGCCTTAGAAATTCACTACGGGGGATCCATTAGCCTGGGATGATTAACACAATTGGAATTTATTTAATGGATGGTAGCTTTCAAAATCCAAAGTTATTGTCAGTCAAATTATCTGACGCGATGGAGTATCAGAATTGCACCAACAATATTTGCAACAAATGCTTCTTTCTGTGTTCATTTTTGTCCCACTGTTGACGTCTTCTGTTAACTTCTGCCAAGACTCCTCTTCGAATACAAGTTAAGATAATTACTACCTTGATAATTTGGCCAGACACCCCCACCAAAAAAAAATGACCGATGGGAAGATTCAAGATGCCCAGGTAGCTAAAACAAATCTTTAGTGCAGGCTTAGGGTGGAGTAGGGAGTGTGTCCAGTAGGGAATGAAGAGCAGGAAGAAGCACAAAAAGACAAACATTGAAATACACCTGTTGCGGTGCAGAGGTGGTATCTTCTGTTCTGGCCAATGGCTTACCCCAATTCAGAGATAATTGTTTGTCTTCCTTGTCTTCCTATTGAACAGGGGTTCCCAACCGGGGGTGCTCGTACCCCCTGGGCGTATTTGATGATATTCCAGGATGTGCAAAAACTTGGGTTTTTCTAAGGGGTGCGAGAATATATCAGAAGCATTGTAGGGGTACGGGATATAGAAAAGGTTGGGGCCCCTGCTGTTGCATAATGGCCATATTTTGAAAGTGTGCCCTTCTGTTTGTGAGATCCATTTCAAAGATCAGTTGTGTCAGAAGTTGTGTCTTCTTTTGCAGAACCAAAGGCCCAGGTAGCACTGCAGCATCACGGACACCAGAGAGTGCCCAACGCTGAGCAGAACGGCGTGAAAATTCATAACCATCCAAGATACGTTTCTCGAAATGAACCCCGGCAGCCAAGGAACGAGAAGCCGCCGCGCTTTCAAAGAGACAGTCAGAACCCGAGACACAACACGGAAGGCAGCGGATTGCCAAGAACCAGGCCTTCCGAAAGGCAGAATTCCCTGGGCCCCGATCAGTGGACTGAAGAGAAAAACAAGTGTGATAGACTTTACCCTCGGAAAGATTTTGGATACCCTACGACCGGTCATTCAGCGGACCTTCCTTTCAAGAGGAGGGAGACTCCCATGCAAAACCGGACGGGGAAAATCGGGTCGCTGGTGGAAATGAAAGAGAACTCTTCCGGCCATGAGCCAAACAACAGCAATACCCAGAAACAAGCAAGTCAGATGCATCACCCCAACAATTTCTGTGATAGGAAAACGTTGATCCTCGCGAATGAGTCTTTTACTGGCTTAAAAAACGAGCAGCCATTCAGCATGGCTGTAGACTACCCGAATCCGGTGAGAACTGATCCCTTTTGTTCCGTACCAAACGGCGATTTGGAACATTTCCCCAAAGGGAGGCGGGTCGGACCTATCAAAATGCCTCCCCAAAACATGGCCATGCCCTTCGATGTCAAAATGTACTATGATTCTGGTCCCAAAAAGCGATCTGGTCCCATCAAGCCGGAAAAAACATTGGAGCCGCATGTTTCGGGAGAATACGGGAAAAGTTGGCAACCGGGGGATGAGTGTTTCGCTCTTTACTGGGAAGACAACAAGGTAGGCTTTTGTTCCAAGCCAAAGATAATGGTTTTTGAAGTGGCCGTCATTGTTTGTAAGGTTATCAAGTTGAATTGGGGAAAAGGGACCCCTGGAGATGTCCAATGGTTGCCAAAGGGGATCGGGTGACCCCAGGACACTGCAACCATCACACGTACATGCCAGTTGCCAAGCATTTGAGCTTTGATCACATGATCAAGGAGAGGCTTCAACGGTCATATGCGTGAAAACTGGTAAAAGCTGCTTTTTCCAGTGCCGTTGGAATCTCAAAATGGTCACTAGGCAGATGGTTGTAAGTCAAAGGGCCATCTGTACAGAATAATTTTTTAAAAGTCAGCGTGGTCTGTTCACAGGCTTTAATTTTGAAATATACCTGCGTGCCTAAAGGCTCTTTGAGTGCCGATCAAGCGATCTGCCATCCACAGACGTTTGACTGAAGTCACAGATATAAAATATAAGCTTGTATATCAGGGATATCAAACTGGATTTCTTCGCGGGCTGGATCAGCATTGTAGTTTTCAACGGGCTGGCTTGTGGGAGGTGTGAGACGGGACAGACACCTCCTGCAGCAGCTTTCCGGCCAAAATGGGGAATGGGGGACCCTTGTATGCCCCCTTGTACCCCTTTTTGGCTGGCAGAGAGCTGCAGGAGGCTATCCAAACCAAAAATGGGGTGAGGAGTGCATGCTCCTCCTTGCTCTATTTTGGCTGCCAGTAGCACTGCGGGCCATTCCCATGCTATTCCCAGGCTGGCCCCATGGGCCAGATTTAAGCACCCCGTGGGCGAGATGCAGTCCGCGAGCCTTTGACACCCCTGTTGTATATATTTTTGGTAAGGTTATAAAGTTGAATCGGGGAAAAGGGACAGTAGCTGTGTAGTAAAACCTGTCCTATCCTCTTCTGCCCTAAAAGAAACAAATCAGCTCTTTGAAGCTAGCACAGGGGTGTGATTCAACCGGTGTAACATATACTTGCTTTGCGCAAGTGCAGAGCATTCGCTACTGACCTTCAGCAATCCCTGTCTGTTAAACAGCTGACAGGCGGCAATCCGCTGTGCTGCGCGAATCAGCTGAGCTTGAAAAACAGGATATAAGGCACAGCCTAGAGCCCAGGCCAAGTAAGTGGGCCCAACAGCTGATCGACGGAGCAAACCAAACCAATTTGCTCCCAGCTGATCCTCGGAATTACCGGTTCACCCAAACCGGCCTGAACCGGTCGAATCCCACCCCTGAGCTAGCATATGTAGAAGTGTTTTTCTGAGCCATAGAGTTTATATTATTAGCTGCAGACATCATCTTTCTTAAAAGTGGTTGAGTTCCAGGGATGACAAATTGACTAGGGATAAGACTCATAAAAGATAGTCAGCCTCTAAAAAGTGATTCACTTCTCGGGGCTTTATGGCCCTTGGTGTTCTTAAGAGATTCTTAAGAGATTTGAGATAAAACCTTAAGCAAGGTAGATGTTTTAGCCCAATGTTTCTTTTTTAAAACAAGCAATGATTCCTGGAAAGTGATCCAGTACTAAAACAGATCAGAAATTGGGATTCTTCCAGGTATCGGTGACAGCTGCAATAACAAAGGACTTACTAAAGTTCTCTTTGTTCTGTCATGCTGGACCTAAGTTTTTGTTTCATTTTTTTTAAATTTTTGACAAAGGGTAGGTTGAGCTTAAAAAACAAGGCCAAGAATCGTGGTGCTAAAGCATACGCAACAAAGCTATATAACAAAGAGCAGCAAAGATGATTAGGTGGCTGGAGGCTAAAACATGTGAAGAAAGGTTGCAGGAATTGGGTATTCCTAATCTAGTAAAAAGAAGAACTAGGGGTGACATGGATAGCAGGGTTCCAATATTTGAGGGGCTGCCAGAAAGAGGAGGGGTCGACCTGTACTCCAAGGCAGGACAAGAAGCAGTGAATGGAAACTAATCAAGGAGAGAAGCAACCTAGAATTAAGGAGAAAACTTCCTGATATTCATTAATTAATAAGTGGAACAACTGGACTCCAAAAGTTGTGGGTGCTCCAACACTGGAGGTTTTGAAGAAGAGCTTGGATAGCCATTTGTCTGAAATAGCATAGGGTCACCCGCTTGAGCAGGGGGGGCTGGACTAGAAGACCTCCAAGGCCCCTTCTGACTTTTGTTGTTCAAGGAATTATTTCCATTTTCAGTAATCAGTTTAACGAACCAAGCCAATACATGGTTACAAAGAGTTTTTGACTGTTTACAGAAAGAAAATTATCCCTTGGCTAGATGCCTTCATTAAGCCAAATATGTTTGATTACTATATGGACTACAATGAGATATATTTTATTTATTCCCAGCACTCATGCCTTGCCTGAATCAAGCGGGTCATTTTGGTATGATACGGCAGGGGAAAGGCCTCACAATATCTCCATGGAGTTTTTTGCTTGCTTAGAAACACAACACACGTTATTGTTCTTCTCGGGAAAGTGGGGAACCTCAGGGTTCCACCCCCAAGTAGTCTTCAAGAACCGAAGAAGCTTCTTGGATGAGAAGCGAAACGTCTTCAAAGAAAAACGAAAAACCAGAAAGTCCAGTTGTCTCTTGAAAAAGGACTTTTGGGACAACCATGACCTGGATGACTGAGAATCTCCATAGACAAGTAGACTTCAACTTCCAACAGTTCATTTAGTGACCGTTCAAAGTTAGAAATGCCACTGAAAAAAAGTGACTTATGATTCTTTTTTTGCACTTAATGACCGTTGCAGGGTCACTCCAGGGTCACTTGACCAAAATTCAGATACTTGGCTTGATGAAGGTGTCTAGCCAAGTTCCATGGGATATGGGGACAATTTTCTTTCTCTAAACCTTTGGTAACCATGTACTATGTAAGTCCTCAACTTACGGATCGTTGTTAAGCGAATCACTGCCATTGTTAAATAAGTGACACAGTGGCTAAGTGAATCTGGTTTCCCCACTGCAACTGTCATAAATACGTGTCCGTTGCCAAGCATCTGAACATTGACCACAGGACCACGGGGATGATTTGACAGACATAAGGGTGGAAAATGGGTCATAAGTTAATTTCTTCGGTGCCGTCGTAACTTCAAACACTCACTAAGTGAATGTTTTCCAGGGCCATGTGTATTGTCTTGATTTGTTAAAACTGATGATTGAAAATGGAAATAAATTCCTGATACAACAGATTAAGAGAGTTGGAAGGGAACTCAGAGGTCTTCCAGTCCAGCAACTGCCATGAATTTATGACACTTGCAATGTCCTGGCGTCATCCCAAAGATACTTTTTCAAGAGGCAGCTGGGCTTTCTGGTTTTTCTTTGAAGACATTTTGCTTCTCACGCCAATAAGCTTCTTCAGCTCTGACTGGATGGTGGGGAAAGGAAGGATTTATACCCCTTGCAGACAGCTGGTCATTTGCATTCTTTTAGCAGGTCGTTAAGGTCACCTGGAGGTTTATCTGTGTCCTCAGGGACACCTGAGTTGTGCAAATGGGTTTGGAGCCTTCTTGGAACTGTTGAAAGGACAGTGTTGTAGATGTGAGATAGGGGATGGTGTATCTGTCCCCCTTTTTTATGAGAGGACTGTTCAGTTTTGACATAGATGATCCCCAGTGTCACAGATAAACCTCCAAGTGGCCTCAACGACACTTAAAAGAATGCAAATGACCGGCTGTCTGCAAGGAGTATAAATCCTTCCATTCCCCACCATCCAGTCAGAGCCACCCCTTTCTTGGATGAAAAGCGAAACATCTTCAAAGGAAAACTAGAAAGTCCAGTGGCCTCTTGAAAAAAAAACCCACTTCTGGATGACTGAGAATCTCCATAGACATCCCCCCGAGTCACATGATCTCCTTTTGCAACCTTCTGACGAGCAAAGTCAATGGGGAAGCCGGATTCACTTAAGTACAGCGTTATTGTCAACTCCTAAAATATTTTGTATAAGCTTTTTATAGTTGACAATAGAAAGAAGTGGGTGGTGGAGTTTCAAAGAGCCGGCGGCAGTGTGGAATCGAAAGTACGTTCCATTCATATTTTCTTCAAAAACTGATTAGATGACCGAAGCTTCTGCCGTGCAAAAAATAATTGGAGAGCATGATTGATGACTCTTGGCTATGGAAGTTCTTCGTTGTATGATACACCCAGAGGGGTAGGGGGGAAAGCAGAATCAAGGGTGACAGTGAATTACATATCTCGGAGTTGGCTACACCCAGGTTAGTGCCGGACGTAAAATGGTAGCTTCAAATAAATTCTCTTTAGCGTTGGGAGCGTGGCTCGAGGCTCATGATTTAACTGGAGTAACTGCCAGAACCCTGACAGTTAGCTAATTTAAGAGTCTCCAGTGATTCACTTAACAAAGAGTGGCCAGAAACGTACAATGGGGCAAAATTCATTCGACCCGAGTCTCGTTCAGCAACACAAAAAAAATTCAGGTTCATTGTAGCCGTGTCAACGACTAACCATATCGCTGCGGAAAAAAAACGACACGTGGCATAAATTTGTTATTTAGTCATTGAAATATGCAATCGCTTGTTTTGTAAAATGCCATATTTTTTTTACATTTCCCCCCCACCTCTTTTTTTTTTCCCCTCTCCCCTCAGTTTTACCGGGCAGAAATCGAAGCTCTCCATTCTTCTGGGACAACTGCTGTTGTTAAATTTTGTGACTATGGCAACTATGAAGAAGTGTTATTATGCAACATCAGGCCCGTTCAAGCTGACACCTGGGTACGTGATAATAAATTGTATACAAAGAGATAAAGTACGGTATTTCTTATGAACATGGAAGCCATAAACAGATGACAGATTGCAGAGGGTTTTCGAATAAAAAACCTGAAGACAAGAATTCTAAAACTGGTTAAGGTGTTTTTTGTTTTGTTTTTTGTTTTTGTTTTAAACCGCATCTCCATCTATAACTATGCCTTAAGAAGCATGTAGCCTTAACTTCACCTAATAACAGTTTGTAAATTGAGCAATATAATTCTTGGCTTTTCAAGCAAATAATGATTGACAATGAAGAAGAAAAATTAATGGTTTTGAAATGCATTTTTTATTTTTTTTGGCCAGGCTGTAGATTCTAATGGATGGTTTCCTCCTGTGTTTTGCTTTAGTTTAGAAAGCAGATGAGCTCACAAGATTTAAACCCCAGAGTTTAAATGTCCCCCCACCGTTCATTGTATGTATGTGCCTGAGCTTATCATTGTTTCTCTGATTGTATTGTGTTCCTTGGACAAACATTAAAGATATTTGAGGGGATGGTCTAGCCATAAGAGTTTCAAAGGGCTTTGTGAAACACCCAACACCTCAATGCAATGACTTCATAGAAAGGTGCCAAATGATAGCAGTAGAAACAGGGGTTATTTTTCTGAAACATGCTTAAAAACAGGAAGAAAGTCACTACAGAAAGAGTTTTCTCATTCACTAGATTTTTTTTCCCCCCTCCCTCTCTTCCACTTGTTTTTAGTGGGTTTATTGCGTGGCAAGAACAAGAAATTACGTTCTTCTCGAAATGTATCTGCGTTTAGCCATCTTTGTTCAGTTTCCTTTCTAAGATTCTATCCACCCCAATTAGCTGCCATCATTATTCATTTCATATTAACGATATACGGAAGATGGAGCGTGCCGATTTGGCTTCTAAATTTATTTATTTTTAAAATTCGAAAACGCCGCCTTGTGTCCTGCGTTTTTTCCCCCCTCTTCAAATGTTCGCTTGTGTTCTTATTTCAGAGACACAAGTTTTATTTTTTTTTATATATAGCTTTAAACAGACTCCGGCATTTACTCGAGATTCTGCATCTCTCGGTGCCAATTTTCATCGAATGACGAGAGAAATACCGTGATTAGGGCAGGGCAGGGATAAATAGTAAATATTTAGTAGGTTTCTTGAAGAAAAGAAACGAATCAGGCCACTAGCTGAAGGCATCATCAGTTCATCTACAGAAATTTCAGGGTTTACCCATTGAATGTTTTATAGTCACCATCACGACCATTGCTTCATCCCATGGCGGTAAATTATACACAATACATGTAGGTGAAGTACACGCAGTCAGGCTTGAAATAAACAGAGATCAGACTAAGATGGAAGGATTATTGGATTATTGGGCAGGACAATGAGCTTTTAGTTGCTGTTATATCTCCGGAATTGTGGTCTGTCCAATTAAAGTCCTTTTCTTGGACTTCATTTTTGGAAAGGCCCTGTTCTGATTTCTTTTTGCTCCTCTTGAATTCAGCAATTTTTCTTTAGTAAAACAAGCAAAAAAAAAAAATATAGGGTTAATGGAATGATCACTGAACAGTATTCTCCATGGCTTCTCACGTCGTGGTGGATAAATAGCATTTATTTAATAACAGCAAAGTACATGGTGCAGAAGGTAGGAATGAATTGAGCAAGCAAGCACACTTTAGTTTGATTAAACATAAATGAACGGCTATACGAATTCTGTATTTTTTTTCCCCCCCATAGAGCAATAAATATGGAGTGTTGAATTAGCTTTTCCTATGTAGGCATTGCGGAATTTTCATTAGAAAATGTGGACGAGAAAGCAGCTTGCATTTCCATTTGTTGAAGGATTGTTTAACCTTTTACACTTGACTAGAGAATGTACCCATATATATAGATATATATATATATATGTAATCCACTGTTATGCTAAAATGTGGCAGTGATCACAGAATAAAGTTATATGTTTGCAACATATCAGCCCAGGCTTAAAGGCCATCACCGTAATAAACTCTTTTTTTTTCCTCTTGCAATATTTAAAATAAATATCAAAAAGCATGCATTGTTCAGACGAAATTAAGTCTGTGCTGTAGAAATATAAAATAAACACGAATAACTTAAACCCAAAGTGTTCTATGTTATTTTCTCAGATTTAGAAGTGTCACCAACGAGTACATATTTATTAGGAGCTCATTTTATTCTCAGTATATATTTTCCTTCTTACTTGCATCTGGTAACAATAGACCAGTGATGGCAAACCTTTGTGTTGTGGTGTGCCGAAAGCGCGTGTGCGTGCCAGCACCCATAATTCAATGCGCACTGCCCTCCCCTGCATATGGGACCATTCCATCACTTAGAGGCTTCCCTAGAACCCCCCGTAAGGGTGAAAACGGTCTCCTCCACGGTATTTCTGGAAGGCCCGTTTTTCGGCCTCTCAAGGCTGCAGACGCTTCCCTTGAGCTTCCGGGAGGGCAAAAAGAGCCTCAAACGGGCTGAAAATCAGCTGGGAGGCGCGCGCATGCGCAGTGCAGGTAAATTTGGCTGGGGCTCACGTGCCCGCACAAATGGCTCCGCGTGCCATCTGTGGCATGTGTGCCATAGGTTCGCCATCATGGCAATTGACTATTGTGGCTTCCCCTGTTCCTGAAATATATTGAGATAATCTGCAAAGAAACTTTTGAAAAACAGATGCCATTTCCCAATTGGCTAGGCGATTTTAGCTTCCTTTTGTAGAAGACTTGTCAAATCAACAACCTTCGTAAGGGTCTTCTGTGTACAAGTAAATCTTGACTTACAAAAATTTGTTTAGTGACTGTTTGAAGTTCAGTACCAGGAAAAGTGACTTATGACCATTTTTCACCCTTACAACCATTGCAGCTTCCCCATGGTTACGTGATCAAAATTCAAACAGGCTTGGCAACTGGCATGTACTTACGACAGTTGCAGTGTCCCAGGGGGTCACACCATTTCCCTTTTTACGACTTTCTGACAAGCCAAGTCAACAGGGAAGCCAGATTTGCGTAACAACTGTGGTGCTTCACTTAACAACAGAGGCAAGAAAAGTCGAGAAACGGGGCAAAAACTCACATAACAAATGTCTCACAGAAATTTTGGCCTCCATTGCGGTCGTACGTCGAAGATACCTATATTGTAGAAATTAGCTTGATGTATTCTAGAGGCATTTTTCAAATTTGTCATATCACTTGCCTCTCTCTCTACGTTGAATTTAACTTCGAAGGAACACTTCTAATGCTTAAAGTTGAGACTGAGCTACGTGTCAAGTGTTGAATTGTTTCATAAAATTCAATGCCAAGTAATTTCTCCCGTATCTCTCCAGGGCCGCTTCTAAAACAACTTAACTTTAACGTAAAACTCCCAGGAAACCAAGGTGAATTGATTTCATTCCTAGGAGAAAGGTGATCCAGCACAGATGTGAGTTCTGTCTCAGGGTGTACAACATTATTGCAGAATAACCAAACCCATCTGTACGATACTACAGTGACATTGATGGGTTTTGCTTCCCGGGAGGTTGTACATGATAACATTCTAGCTTCAGTGGAAGAAAAAATAATAATAACAGAAAACAATTTATTTACAATTGCTGTATGGTGATTACCAGCTTTTTCACTGGAATATCTGTGACCAAACAAACAGTAAGAAATGTAGAATCCCGAAACTGCTACTCGTAGGCTCACTTCTCGATGTTTCTATGCAATAATATCTAATATCTAATTATAAGGCATGGATTTTGGAAGATCAACGGATCACGGAACTTTATAGCTCAACACGAATGAACAGAAAATGTAACTTTGTTTAAATTTTACTTAAGTAAATCCTGTCTATCTTTTCCTAGTGATTTATGATTCACTTCCACTAGCCATGACAGCTGTCAGATTTCATTGCAAGGGAAGAAAGTTTTGGGTGAAAACTAAAACTGAAATAAAATTAGTTTTAAAAAGACCTTGAGGGGGTGGGGGGAGCTATGCTAAATGACAAAAGGACCTAGAAGTCGTCCTTGACTTACAACCACAATTGAGCCCACTGTTCTGTTGCTAACCAAGGCAGTTGTTAAGTCACTTTTCCCCACTTATGACCTTTGGCCCACAGTTGTTAAATGAATCCTTAAAGTTGTTAGTCACACAGT